AGGGTTGGCGCAAAATCATCATCTCCTTGCCAAATAGCGAAATGTAAGGAGGCCGATGTTTTATATGAGAGAGTCAGTGTCCATTAAGCGTCTGTGTACCCAACCACTGTCAACAAATGGGTAATGAGTCAGGGAATAAAGGAAAGGTGAGACTTATCTCTTAGAGCAGGCAATTGTTGAGTGCTAAGAAAATGCATCAGCCAAACTCTCAGACTTTGTTTCTCCTCCCAGATAAAATCCATAATGTTCATTTGTGGTCTCCATCTCCTCACCACCTCTGACTCCCATTGATTTCTTGGCCCCTTTCATTCTGGTTTCAAGTTCCATCACTACAACACAACTTTCATTAAAGCCACCAATGATTTTCAAAGGAATGATTTCCTAAAGTCTTGCCCTGTCTTTTGGCAACAATAAACAATGGTTCAAGGTTTCATTGTTCACAAACTCCCTTTTCACAGGCTTACTCTCAGCCTCTTTGCTTCTCCTTGCTTTGAATGCTTATTGTCTTCTTCCTGGATATTAAATAATGCTTTATTAGGTCCCTCAACAACTCCATACACTGTTTTAGGTGGTCTTGTTCCCAGGTATTTTTTCAATGATAAACAAATAAATATATATGTATTTGCAATTAATTTTATATATATCAGACTAGTCCTCTTATTTACAAAGAATCATACATAAACAGAGACACTCACTGTATCTTTCAAAAAGTCTTGAAATCAAATTATATAGGTCCTCCTACATTTTATTTAAAAAAAATATATAAACTTCAGTTGGGCCAGTGCTGTGGAATAGTAGGCTAAGACTCCACCTGTGGTTCTAGCATCCCATATGGGTAGCAATTCGAGACTCTACTACTCCTCTTCTAGTCCAGATTTCTGCTATGGCCTGGGAAAGCAGTAGGAGATGGTGCAAGTCCTTGGGCCCCTGCACATGCGTGGGAGACCCAGAAGAAGCTCCAGGTTCCTGGCTTCCGATCAGCCCAGCTCTGGCCTTTGTGGCCATTTGGGGAGTGAATCAGAGAATGGAAGACCTTTCTCTGTCACTCCTTCTCTCTATCTTTAACTCTACCTCTCAAATAAATAAATAAAAACTTAAAAAAAAAAAGCTCAGCTCTGCAGATATCTTTATTTTTATAAAAATTTAATCAATGCTTCAATTAAATAGACTGCTATGATTTTAGTGGAATTGATTGCATTCAATCTATGGATAAATTTGGAAAGATTACCTTATTAACAATATCACATCTTTTAATCCACATTTATATTGAATTTATTCATTTTTATTTCAGCCTTAATATCTCTCATCCATGTTTCATAATGTCAGGTATACATGTTTTACCAACGTATTTTTAAATGTCCTCCTAAAATACATACTTTGTTATAGAAATTTTTGCTCTGTAATTTAATTTTCCTTTTTGTTTATTGCTAGTATATTTTATACAATTGATTTTTGTTTATAACCTTGTGTCTTCCATCTTGCTAAATTCTTTTTTTCTGGTGGACATTTTGTAGATTCCTTAGGATTATTTTTTGTTAAGGGATAGTTTTTTCTCATTACAATAAATACGTATGCCTTTTACTTGTTTTCCTTGTCTTCTATGGCTTAAAACTGCTTAAAACTGCAGTGTAAATGGTATGAGAAGTTCTTTGTTTCTTTGAAGAAAATTCTGATCTTTTAGCATTTATTTGGCAACTGATGTCTGTTTGTAGATAACCATTTTCTGGTTGAGATTGTTTCCTTCTATAACTAGATTACTGAGAGTTTTTATTATAAATGGGTGTTGATTTTTTTCTAATGCTTCTCTTTTGTCTATTAAAATAATTATATTTTGTGCTATTAATATAAGTTGTATTGTTTGAGTTCTGAACTGTGAAGCCAACACTGCATTGCAGAAATGAGTTGAATGTTCAGTATTATCTTTTTAAAAATATATTTCTGGCTTTGATTTGATGATGTATTTGAAGAGGCTTTTATAATTATTTGTCAGGGATATTTGCTCAGTGGTTTTCTACTGAGCTCATACCTATGATTATTATAAGTCTCATGAAATTCATTGAAATTCTATGAATTTTGTAAAGAGTCTGAACAAGATTATTTACAATTTATTCTTTACCGTTTGATGAAATGTATCAATGAGCTATTTGATACTGGGATGTTTTTTAGCAAGATTTCTAAACACCATGTAGTGTCAGTTTTGGTATTATTTGTCTTTCAATATTTGTTTTTCCATTTCATGAACACTAACAAATTTACTGTTCATAATATTCTCTAATTCTCTCTCTCTTTTTTATTTTTTGACAGGCAGAGTTCAAAAGTGAGAGAGACAGAGAGAGAGTTATAGACAGTGAGAGAGAGAGACAAAGAGAAAGGTCTTCCTTCTGTTGGTTCACTCCCCTAATGGCCGCTATGGCCGGCGCTGTGCCGATCCAAAGCCAGGAGCCAGATGCTTCCTCCTGGTCTCCCAAGCGGGTACAGGGACCCAAGCACTTGGGCCGTCCTCCAATGCCCTCCGGGGCCACAGCAGAGAGCTGGACTGGAAGAGGAGCAACCAGGACAGAATCCGGCTCCCCAAATGGGACTAGAACCTCAGGCAGAGGATTAGCCAAGTGAGCCACGGCTCCAGCCTCTAATTCTCTTTTTAAAGTGTGTACCATAATCTGCCATTTCATCCTGATCACAAGTACTTCTGAAGACATGGTGGATTTCAAGGTCAATTATTGACAAAAAATTACCAATTAATTAGGGTGGTAATACCACTTGCAGAATGTATTTTTATATCGAGTGTGAGTTATAAAATGACTTAAAACACTGGAATAAAAGTGTGTGATTTTCCTAGTCAGAGATCATTGAGTCACCACTGTCAATGCAGAATAGAGCTTCCCTTATTGACAACCTCCCAGGTTGGATCTTTTAAAGTTTTTTATTTGCCATAATTATTACTGCTTTTATGTAACTAGGCATACAATTAAAAATATACTGATTTCCCATATTGACAACCTCCCAGGTTGGATCTTTTAAAGTTTTTTATTTGCCATAATTATTACTGCTTTTATGTAACTAGGCATACAATTAAAAATATACTGATTTCTAGATCACATTGTGCTCACATTTAAAAGAAATGCTTTGCATTGCAAAAAAAGCTTTGCAGTCAGATAGAACTCAAAATGTGGCATGCCACTTATTAAAGATACTGGCTTGGATACTTGATTTAATCTTCAGTGTTTTCTTGATCTGTGAAATCTGTATAAAGGGATTTGCTATACGCTAATTTTAGGGATGCATTCAGAATTATTAAACATTATGTGCAGTTTCTTTGGACACTTACTTTCTCTGGACAGCTTATCAGTGGAGAATTTTATTCTCAAAATGAGTGTAAGGTCACACATATCTGTCCTTATGCAGATTGTAAGGTAAAAAGCGGATCACTACATTAGTTTTTCTGATTTAAGAACCATGCCTATGATCCCCATGACAGTTTCTCTTTATGGGAGCTATTTCTGATAGCTGCAAAAGTCACCAGATGCAGGACATTGGTTCTGTCCTTCAAGGGAGCACTTAATAATAGAGTCACTAAAGTTCAAATGATCTCTCAGCGATCATTTAGAAAGGCAGTACAAGACCATTTAGTGTACTTAGAGTTTTCATGCTAGTTCTTCTGGAACTTTCTAACATTCATTGTTGCTTCTCAGTTATTAAACAGAATTACTGTCCTAAAATTGGAGTCACAGAAGAGAAAGAATTCTCAATTGCTGTCTCCTTGCCCCCCACCAACCAATAGATTAAAAGATTGGGTTGGACTGCCACTATGTGAAAGTGTGGTCTACATAGCACGATATAAAGAGAAGATAGCTTGTCGAATGCTTTCTATTTAAGGGTAGATCTTTCGTTAGGATATTTCCCTCTTCTTCAAGAGAGGAGATGGTCAAAGGGAGACCACATTTACTCATCTGTATGGGCATCAAAGCAAAATTCTGTTCTCAAGTTAAACATTATCTAACAGTCTTTGATTTTGTGGTGTAAAAAGCAGAGAATCCATCTAACACCCATTTGGAAAGACCACAAGGACACATTGGTCTGTCCTGCCTTGCTGCAGAGGGAGAAAAGTAACAGCTGAATAATCTTAATAGAACTAAGGCAGCCTTACGGCATGCTCGTTGGCACATTTTCCTCTTGAAAAAATTACACATGCTGAATTTTATTGTTTTGCTCAGTAAAGCCTATCAATCTTCATGAGCTTACAATTAAGAAAATATTATACTTGGCGGGACTCCCTGCTATTATCAGATACTTTGAAAAGAGATGGAAAAGTACAAGTTGTGTAACTGTTGTTACCAATTCTAGTTATTTGAAATGTTAACATAAGATCACAAGGACTCCTAGTGTTTTTGTGGGCATTTTAAAGGGCTTGACCAAAAATCGGCTGCAGACAATTTAATATCTTCAAATATTAAAAAGCACAGAGTAGTTAAGTGTATTTGTTTCACTCAAAGGTTTGCTTTACACAAGCCTGAGAAGCAGAAAACCTCACAGAAAACAGTAGGGAGTTAAGGTCTACCTCTCCATCTGCCAGCAGATGGCAGTGTTGAAGCATGGAACAAACTCATTTGGGTGATTTGTTTCATTACCAGCTAGGTTTTCCTTCTTTCCTTAGGTGTCTGAGCCGCTCCAGAATTCCTAATATGATTGTCATCCATTTAACATTCTCCTTCTCCAGTTTTTACTTCCCCTTTTATAAGGGAACACCTTTTCCATTTGCAACTGTCTTTAGACCTTGACAAAATTATGCTGTTTTAGCTTGTTTCCATCCAAACACCTAGTTAGCTGTCCACTGAAGGAAAGCCAAAAACCTATTCCACTCCACAAACGTTTTGGAGAAATAGGCACTCAAAACTCCCAGACCTCCGGTGTCTGGCACACTTTCCTGTGTCTTCTAATTACTTCTCCAACGTGGAACTTTCCTAAGTCAAATAGCAACAAAGAATCCCCTCTCCTTTCAGATCCCTGGAACATCATCTGTAGTTCAGAGAAAATGGAAGCCCTTGCAGCCCGTTTCACAGTCTCGAGCGCCAGGACAGCAGACCAAGTCCCGGATTAGCGCTGTGGCTGCTGAAATAAAACAGATCCGAGCCAGAAGGAAAACAGCCCGGATGTTAATGGTCGTGCTTTTGGTGTTTGCAATTTGCTATCTACCAATTAGCATCCTAAATGTGCTAAAAAGGTAAAACTTATCTATTTGGAAATGAAGTGGTTTATCATTTCTCGGTCCATCATTAATAACTTTATTTCAAGCCAGGAGAAAATACACTTTTTGCCTAGATACCTTCTCAGGCCAGATGGCCCAGTTATGTTGTTAACAACAGGTGAGGTGAACAGCCTTTTTAAGTGCTCAGACATATGCTCTTGTCTATGCAGATTCTCTGTTGAATGGCAGACATAAAACAGATGTTCCTCCAAACTCTTGAAGCTAATTGCTAAGCCTTCCATGCAGTGAAAATTTTTATGCAAAGAAAAAAAGAAAAGAAAAACTGCTTTGCATCTTGGAGTTCTTTTTTTGATGAGAACAAATAGGATTTCCAAAACTTTGTCCTCAAAGTCATAGGCAATTGTGACAAAATTCTATCTAAAGATAAAGAGATAAGAATGTTTTGTTTTTAAGCTCTAAAGAAAAAAAAAGTAATCAAAGATAATGCTGTGTTTTGAATATATAAACAAAAAGAGAGAAAATCCATTTTCTCAAGTTACTGAATCAAGCTCAAGGTGAATATTAATAAAAATCATCACAAAATTTTTCAGTGAAGGAAAGTATGTAATACATTATGCTGCAGATGCAATTATTAAATTCAGATTATCAGACAATGACATGAACAGCAGATGCAGAGGCAGTGGTACACACAAAACTGCATGGCCAGCCAACTTTATTGGAAATTATCAAAACTGTTGTACAGGGATTGCTCCCAAGACAATACTAATTCTGTTTATTATGGGCTTCAAACTTAACCTGGACTTGCTCCTCTCAGTTTTCCCTGTTTTGGAGTCAATATCAGATTCCTCACAGCTGGGGACTCTAGAGAGAGGCAGCTTTGGCGAGAGTCAATATAAAGGTGGTATGACCAGCTGCAAAGATCTTCCATTCTCTTTGGCCCCTGTTTTTTGATTATTTAGTGTTTTTTTTTTTTTTTCCAGTAGAGAAGAATTGGAAAATGAACTTTTGTTCAGCAATATTACTTACTGCAGTCACAGTCTTAAAGGTATAAGATTTTTGGCAACTCAGATCCTTGAGATGTATATTGGCTCACAAGAAAATAAGTATCTTGCCCTTCATATATTTTCATATTCCCCCTCTTATTTTTTCTTGCTCACAAAAATCCCATGCAGATCAAATATGGTCCTTTCCTAGATTGTGTCTCCTGCCCTTACAAAAGAAGCTAGAAAACATGCTATGGGACCAGATGAGTTCTCTTTTTGTCGTTTACTGTTTTAAGTCAGTGTAAATTCAATTTTCATTTACTACTCTGCATTGCTCATTTGGAATTCCTGTATCTCAGCATTTGCACTTTGCTTTTACTGATTTCCGAATACCTACTCATATATAATATTTCTTTTAGACTTCTGACTTGAATATCCTCCTTTCCAAAGAAAATAAATAACTTTTAAGAAAATTTGTGTTAAATTTTAAATATTTTCAATCTAGTGAACATTCTGCTTGTTTCCACAAAATAAAAATTTTTTAAATAATCTTGAAAATTGTTTTTCAGTTTAACATATACATTTTTTTTAAAATTACTATGTCTAGGGTTGCCCTTACATAGTAAAGTTTTTTTTTTCTTCTTCACACACATAAGAAATTTCCTTGAAACTTGAATTTACCAAAAAACAGTAGTCAAAAGCAACTTCTTAAATCAGTTCTAGTTTTTCCAGGATTTCAAAGCTATTTTGGGGTAAAGGGTTATAACCTGATGGATTTCATTTGTCCATTCTGTCTTACAGTGTTTGTATTAAAAAAAAAAAAAAAACAACTCTAGTTATCTGTAGAGCATTGCTTCATTTCAGAGATGCACTTTTATCAGATGCCTTCTTATCAAAAGAAAGCATTAAGATAGGACACAAAACATATAATCAATGATGAAGCCTCCAACAGGAAATCCCTTATAATCTTTGGCCTATAAACTTCCAGCTGTAAGTTATCTGCAATAGGTTAGTGAATAGAATTTGATATATAAAATATTCTAACTATGGAACAAAACTTAAGATAGCCCTTAAGGATGCCACAATAAAATATTTTGTGGCATTCAGTATATTGTACAAAAACTTAGAACTCATGAATTTTAGCAAATTATCTGAGTTATGCCTACTGAAAATAATAATTCTTTGGGTGTAAAGAGTTCCCAGAAGCCAAATTTCAACAAAGCCAGGAAGGTTGGAATTAAACATATAATATTTTGATCCCTGTGCAAATGAAACTAGGAAGAAGTACTTATAGAATGCATATTGTGAGTGCTCTTGAAATGATCCACATAATACTCATTGAACACGAGATTGTTTATGTTTAAGACACAAAATGGAATAAGGAAGATATGTATTCAACTTCTGTATTCTTGTCTACAAGAAGCACTGTATTTGCTCTTTGCCTGACGAAGTGATCCTTTTTCTCTAGCCTGATTGAGCTTTTGATTACTAATTGTGCCATGAAGGTTCTGTTTGGAAACAGACTCTGTTCCACACTGACCATCATGTGTTACACCAGCCCGTGGTTAGTACTGCAGGCTTGCTCACTTTGAATCTGACGGTTTAAAGGCACTTTCCACCCTCACACTGTATTTTCTGTTATTGTTTCTTTTCCTACAGAGTATTTGGGATGTTTACCCACACAGAAGACAGAGAGACTGTTTATGCCTGGTTTACATTTTCACATTGGCTTGTTTATGCCAACAGTGCTGCGAACCCAATTATTTATAATTTTCTTAGTGGTGAGTTTTCACTTATTTCTTCTATAAAACAGCTTTAACTAAGGGTGAGGGACAATGACCAGAAGATTGGAATACTCTTTTTTTTCTAAGATTTATTTATTTATTTATTTATTTGAAAGCCAAAGGTACAGAGAAAGAGAGAGACAGAGAGATTTTCTATCCTCTGGGTCACTACCCAGATGTCTTCAATGGCTGGGATTAACCAGATAAAGCCAGGAGCCAGGAGCTTCATCTGGGTCTCCCACACAGGTGGCAATGGCCCAAGCAGTTGGGCCATCTTCCACTGCCTTTCCTAGGCCATTAGCTTGAGATGGATTTGACATGGAGCATCTAGGACTCAAACCAGTTCCCATATAGGATACCTGCGATGGCTTAACCTGCTAGGCCACAACACCAGACACAGAATATTCTCAAAGCATATAAAAAACTTAGCTGATCTCTGAAATATTTTCTTTCTCTCACCTGGTATGTTTTTTATTTTTCCATTTAGGAGAGGGAATATATATTATCTAACAATCAGAGAAAATTTTCTAAATGACCCCCCCCAATCTAAGATGACAAGTTATAATACTAGGAAAGTGAAGATTGTGAGAAACAGATAATGCAGAACCTTGAGTGTCAACTTTCAACCTATGATTCACAAAATATAAAGTATTTTATCTGTTTTGCCATGTTGTATCAATCCTTTCCTAAAATGCATATACTAATTGACATTGAATTGGAATTTTTTCACTTTCATATATTTACTGTATTTACATTTCTCTTGTGGGTAACATCTCTTGTGTTTATCTTAAGATTTCTTGCTAATCACAAAATTGATTTAAAAAAAATCTCTAATTTAATCTATCTCTGTTTGTGTGATTAGCATTATTATAAAAGCTATTTAAATACATTTTTTTTTTTTTTTTTTTTTTTTTGTTTTTGTTTTCTATTCACAGGCAGAGTGGACAGTGAGAGAGAGAGACAGAGAGAAAGGTCTTCCTTTGCCGTTGGTTCACCCTCCAATGGCCGCCGCGGCCGGCGCGCTGCGGCCGGCGCACCGCGCTGATCCGTTGGCAGGAGCCAGGAGCCAGGTGCTTTTCCTGGTCTCCCATGGGGTGCAGGGCCCAAGCACCTGGGCCATCCTCCACTGCACTCCCTGGCCACAGCAGAGGGCTGGCCTGGAAGAGGGGCAACCGGGACAGAATCCGGCGCCCCGACCGGGACTAGAACCCGGTGTGCCGGCGCCGCTAGGCGGAGGATTAGCCTAGTGAGCCGCGGCGCCGGCCTAAAAGCTATTTAAATACATTTTAAATGATGAATTTTTATTTAGGTATTTGAAAGGAAGAGTGATAGAGAGAGGGAGAGATAGAGACAATGAGATCTGCTTTATTCCCTGAATGGCTGCAATAGCCAGGGCTGGACCAGGCTGAAATCATGAAGCTGGAAGACAGTCTGGATCTTCCACCTGATGATAGGGGCCCAAGTACCTTGGCCATCTTCTGCTGCTTCCCCAGAAGCATTTTCAGGGAGTTCAATCAGAGATGGAGCAGCTAGGGCTAGCGCCAGGGCTCTGACACGGGATGCCATCAGTACAGGCAGTTGCTTAATCTGCTGTGTCACAAGACCAGCCCCTAGATAAGCTATTGTTTTCTTTGTATTTTGTCTGATTGACCTCTAGAATTGTGTTTTAATTAACTACATGGGCATTTTCTTCATCTCCAAACTATTGTCTATTTCTTTTTTTCTTTATTTCTAGTGTATAGTTTATGTGGAAGAATAACAATTCATTTTATTACATACCCAATAAATTTATGTGCATCTTCTAACTTTACCTTTGGCCTTTTGGTTGCTTTTTTATTTTTAATTTTGGTTGGTTTTTAACAGATTCAATGTAGTTCTTACATATAATTCTATTTTTTTAAAGATTTATTTATTTATCTGAAAGGCAGTTACACAGAGGCGAGGCAGAGGCAGAGAGAGAAAAGTCTTCAGTCCTCTGGTTCACTCCCCAAATGACCCAGTGGCTGGAGCTGGACTGATCTGAAGCCAGGAACCTGGAGATTCTTCTGGGTCTCCCACGCATGTGCAGGGGCCCAAGGACTTGGGCCATCTTCTACTGCTTTCCCAGGCCATAGCAGAAAGCTGGATTGGAAGTGGTGCAGCCATGACTCGAACCGGTGTCCATATGGGATGCAGGCACTGCAAGCAGCAGCTTAACTTGCTATGCCACAGTGCTGGCCCTTCCTACATACAATTCTAAGAATATAATTATATTCCTTTTCTCCATCACTCCCTCCTCCTTTCTTCCTCCTACCCTCCCTCCTTCCACTTTTCTTTCTTATTTTTTAAGTTTTTGAGATATTATCTTTTAAGACTGGCGCCTCGGCCCAATAGGCTAATCCTCCACCTAGCGGCGCCGGCACACCGGGTTCTAGTCCCGGTCGGGGCTCCGAATTCTTTCCCGGTTGCCCCTCTTCCAGGCCAGCTCTCTGCTGTGGCCCGGGAAGGCAGTGGAGGATGGCCCAAGTGCTTGGGCCCTGCACCCATGGGAGACCAGGAGAAGCACCTGGCTCCTGCCATCAGATCAGCGTGGTGTGCCGGCCGCGGCAGCCATTGGAGGGTGAACCAACGGCAAAAGGAAGACCTTTCTCTCTGTCTCTCTCTCTCACTATCCACTCTGCCTGTCAAAAAAAAAAAAAAAGAGAGAGAGAGAGATATTATCTTTTAAATTTACATTACAGTAAAATGATTTAATGCTTCACTAAATAAGAGTTTATCAAGTAAAAAGCAAAAAAAATTTCATTTTTAAAAAATAATTTTGTCTTTTTTTAAAAAATAATGCACAGTGACTAAAGTTCTGAGCCTTACACAATGCATGTAAAATCTATTAGGAAGGTGTAGGGAGAGCACTTGAAGCTGATGCCACAGAATGAAGTCAATGTTCCAGTATGGACAGTGAGACTAAAGTGAGGGCAGGCTACTAAGACTCTCTGAGAACTTGTTCTGTGCCTGCCATTGTCCTTCGCTCTTGAATGTTCCTCTCTTCCCTGAAACCCAGTAGGGTGTTGGAGAGCAAGGGAGAAGAAAGGATGAGTCCCAACACTGGCATTCACCCTAATACAGTTTTTTTTTCCACTTTCATAGTTCTCCAATTTCACATCAAAAATTTATTTTTAAAAAGATTTATTTATTTGAAAGTCAGAGTTACACAGAGAGAGAAGGAGAGGCAGAGAGAGGTCTTTCATCCATTGATTCACTCCCCAGTTGGCCTCAACAGCTGGAGCCGTGCCAATCCAAAGCCAGGAGGCAGGAGTTTCCTCTGGATCTCCTATGCGGGTGCCAGGGCCCAAGCAGTTGGGTCATCTTCTACTGCTTTCCCAGGCCATAGCAGAGAGCCGGATCAGAAGTGGAGCAGAGGGGTCTCGAACCAGTGTCATATGAGATGTGGGCACTGCAGGCAGAGGCTTAACCTGCTATGCCACAAAGCCAGCCTCCACATCAATAAGTTAGAGATAAGGAATATCTTCTAAAGTTTTTTCCCTTTGAGTTTTTTGTTTGTTTGTTTTTGTTCTGCTTTGTAAGATTATGGAATTGGAAATATTTTAGATGTTTTTTAAAGTATTTCTTTTGATAGTTTATTAAGATGATTGTGCCAGTAGGAGTGTCTTCTGAACATGATGCAGGGGTAACTTCTATGTAGATTTGGTTATCATTTTTAAAAATATTGAATACCTCAGTATATCTTTCTACTGATGATCGCTTTTATAGTTAAAATATAGCTATATTCAGAAATACATATGGTGTGACTATAAAGGAATGTAGCAAACTCTAAGAGTCATATATGAAAAGCAGTCTCATTCTTACATGGAAATACCTCATCATTTCAAAAGTCTATCAAACTTCCAATAAACTCAATTTCCTCTTCCTATTTTCCCCATCTTTGCAGAATATTACACCTCATTGTTAGTTTGGCTCAAGGGAGCAACTCAGATGTACCCTACTCATTATTTGTTGAAACATTTCTGAATAATTCCTTTTCCTTCCATTCTCCCTGGTTTGCCAGGAAAATTTCGAGAGGAATTTAAAGCTGCATTTTCTTGCTGTTGCCTTGGAGTTCACCATCGCCAAGAGGATCGGCTCACCAGGGGCCGAACCAGCACAGAGAGCAGGAAGTCGCTGACCACGCAGATCAGCAACTTGGAAAATGTATCAAAACTCTCAGAGCAAGTTGTGCTCACTAGCATAAGCACCCTCCCAGCAGCCAATGGAGCAGGACCGCTTCAAAACTGGTAGAATATTTGTTCATATGACAAGAATTACTGAATAAAACTCTTATTTTTTAAAATCTCTGTAAACAGAAATTTTATTATTCTAATGATATGAAGCTAAAATTACTTGTGGATCCTTTTTTAAGAATGTATTTATCTTTGGAAATTAAAAAAAGTCCATTTAAAATAATTTCTCAAATTTTGACTTAAGGTGTTAGAAGTTTAACCTGCAACTGTACTTATTTAAGTCTTTTTCAATTTTAGTTTCTTGTATTTACATGTGTCAATTAAATGTTTTAATATTTCTAATTCTTTTTATGATCCCTTGTTATTTTAATTTTATTCTCAGATATTTAAAGAGCTTGTTAAAAATTACCAAAAGTTATCTGATGATTTCCTTCAGTTACTAAAAGCAGTATCAGTTTCTGTGAATGAACAACAGGCAGAGAAATTGACTTAATAGTGTTTATTAAAAACATCACAAAAGACTGTCATTGAAATTAGCATCTGAGAGAACATTTATATATTAGAAAACATTAGATAATTCAAAATCTATCCAACAAGTTTGCATACAATATATACTATTAAACTTTATTTTCTTCTATATTTATCATTAATTTACATAATTTTCTCTGGTTTGGAACTTTACCGTTGTTAACATTTCTTGTCTCAATCTATGCCCAGTAAGATTCTGTGTAAAATAAAAAAGTTGGAGTAACTACTAATAAATGAAAATTTTCACCTCCAAAGAAAGAGTTGGTAAGAATACAATAAAATCACTCCATTGTATTCTTTTAACCAAAACAAGATACACTCAGCCCTGATGGATTAATTTATGAATATAACAGTGTAGTGTGCACTAGAAAAGGAAGCAGGGCCAAGTGCAAAGAGGCCTCCAAAAGAGCTGTGGTACAGTGAGGGAGGCTTGTTGACAGAGTGCAAGACAGCCAACAGCCAAGGAGGAAGATTCCTGGGCATGGAAAAAACTGTGTCAATGAAGTACTATCTTCAACAGAACATTGGTGGCAGATTAGCACGTTGTTTCCCATCTAATTACACTTCCATTGTCCACGTCAGTGATTCCAAATGTGCCTGGAGCTGAGGACCACAGGATCAGAAAAATGGACAGTCTTGCTGTTAACTCAGATGCCAGAGATCACTATAGTTTATTTTGTACAAACAAAAGATCAGGGATCCAAAGCACTGGGTAATTTTAAATTGGTTCCTCTGCAAGATTTTTGATTCAGATATTCAATTTTAAATTAAATTCAAAGTAATAGAACTGTTTGTGAGAAGATGTTCTTCACCTCACATTATACCAGCAGGTGTTCTGATTGTATTGAAGTAAAAGATACGGGTACAATATTTAAGATTTTCATAGGAGATAATTACTAGATTGCTATTTTCTCTTGTTTCCAACTCATTACCCTAAGAGAAAATTAACACAACCAAATTATTCATAATTTGCTTTCAAATCTTAGAATTTAGGATTTTGTTTTTTGTGCCTTTTATTACTCAAAGCAAAAATTAGCCTTCTTAGATGAGCTTTATTGTAATATTGCTAAATATTAGCAGTATGTCAATGCAAGCATGTTTTTTTTAAATCTCTCTTTCCTCCCCTTTGTGCAACTGGGAAGTTTTTGTTGTTGTTGTTGTTGTTATTTCTGCTGCATGAAAGGAAAGTTGTAATTTTCAGATTGTGGTGAAAGCCATCACTTTATTTTGAACATAATATGATAATATGCCTTAAAGACAAGTAATAGTAATAGCTCAGTGTAAGACACCAGTTTGCCTAATTCTTATCAGTTAAGATGAGGGAAGAAAGAGAAAGAGAGAGACTGACTCTCAGAGAGGAATAATTTGTGTGCATTTAGAATTCATAATTCCTTTGCTCTAAATAAGTGATCCTCAAAATATATTTCCAAAAAATTAATTTCACTGTTACCTGAGAAATTATTCAACATGCAACTTTCCGCCTACCAAACCAGAGATGTTGAGAAGGATGGTATGCAGGAATCTGTGCATTCACAAGCCTTACAGGTGAAGCACCTTAAGGTAAATGATACCACATAGCATGAGTTTATTAGCCCATGTGCAATAAAGTCTTTTACTGTAAAGGTATCTACAACAGGGGCCGTCATCCTCACTACTGTTAACCTGGTTGGAGGTCTGAAAGAAGAAGCTGCTGTTGAATCTCACCAGTGTCATCTCAGTTAAAGAGAATGGTTTACAAAACAATTACTACTGAATTGTAAGGGTGGAAGAAAACTGTTTTTAAGGCACTTATGTGCTCTATGGCAACCTGGATGACTTGAGTTTTGAAATCAGACTTTCATATCCCCAATCTTATTTATAATTACTAAAATATACGTTTTGGGAAAGCAGACAGTTCTAGGAATGATCATTTCCTGGAAGAAAAAAGTAAAATAAAGCCTGTAATTACAAGAAACTGGAATGGAATAATACATGATGATGTACATACTTCTCAACATATGGATCCAGGAATCCTTCTGAGAGGTCTGGATTTAGTATGGTTACCTTAGGACTAATGGCAAAGAAACAGGTGTTCCCAGCTCTGACAATCTATGGAACAAGGGTCAACTACTTACCTCATTATGTGCTAATGACACAAATGAGAAGAATTCTTATGAAAGGAATGTGTTGGGGCTGTTTTGTGTTATACATTGAATATACATATATATCCTTTTTTTGCTGTATTTAAAAGATTTAATGTAAGATGTCAGTCTCACTGAAATTTTCTTGTCAATATGAATGAGCTATACTTTAATACTCTAAAATAAAATCCATTTGAACTTCATTATTTCTGAATTTCCACAAAATAAAAAAAAAAAAAACCTTGATATATGAACTTATTCACTCTTGATCAAAAAGTTACTCCTGGTTTGTGAAGAAAATTACTTCTAAACTCTCCAAAACTTGGGTAGTTTCTTGTCTGTTAAATTCCTGTTATAAATCATTGATGAATTAATTACAAAAGTGTCAGAAACAATCATATTAAATTTTACATTTTCAGGAAGATTAAGGTAAATATGCTAACAACATATTGTTTAAGTATGCTTGAGCCTGAAATATCAGAATGCCAAAAAACCTAAAGCTGCTAAGGATCCAAATTGTCAGGAGGGCTATGATTTTACTAGCATTATAATCTATTATTTTGTTCTTGATGTAAATTATAATAGTAACAGAATGCATCTCAAAGTAGCTGGCTAGTTATTACAACTTAGAAAGCTTTTCAATGCCAGTTAATTTTATGACGGATCACTTTTCTACTTCCTACAGATCACAAGTTAAAAAAAAGTAAATGCCATTGGGTTATTTTCAATTAGTTTTCAAATTGCATGAAACAAAATAATAGATTTTTAGAGACAATATATTAACAGAGAAAATATTATTTCAAGTATATTCTAGTACCTATGCACCGCAGAAAATGAAATGAAAAGGCACGAAAATACTAGTATCTCCTAAAATTCAAAGGGAGTTGTTTTCTACACACTTACTGATGCTAAAAGAGGGGCAAAAGATTACCCTCTAACTTGCTACGTATTTCTAGCCTCTTAAATTTTCCTTATAAGCTTTGGAGTTAGAATGTCTTCTAAGTTTTTCCTGAAATGTATTTCTGTAACTGTTGTATCTCATGTGTATAACACAATGTCAGTTGCTTAACAATTATCTTGTAAGATTCTGTAGGCTTGATTGTATAGTGTCTTCATGGAGAAATTTATCAAACCCAAGATGATCACACACCTTTTGCTGCGACAGATGCTCTTTTTGAAGTTTTTAAGTAAAAACCATATTGAGAACTTGATCATCATATTTACAGTGACATCTCTATTACATGAAAAATTTTGTTGTTGACTAGATATGTTGCATATTCATTCATAATTAGAGTTAAATCTTTGCAGTTAAAGATTGAATTAAGCTTTGTGCTACAGTGCTCAATGACCAAGATATTTTTACCAATAAGTTTATGTAACTGGGGATAATCATGATATAAAGGGTTTTCTTTGTTTATTTTGACAGGCAGAGTGGACAGTGAGAGAGAGAGACAGAGAGAGAAAGGTCTTCCTTTGCCGTGGTCACCCTCCAATGGCCGCCGCTGCAGCCGGCGCACCGCGCTGATCCGATGGCAGGAGCCAGGATCCAGGTGCTTTTCCTGGTCTCCCATGGGGTGCAGGGCCCAAGCACCTGGGCCATCCTCCACTGCACTCCCTGGCCATAGCAGAGAGCTGGCCTGGAAGAGGGGCAACCGGGACAGAATCCGGCGCCCTGACCGGGACTAGAACCCGGTGTGCCGGCGCCGCAAGGTGGAGGATTAGCCTATTGAGCCACGGCGCCGGCTCGATATAAAGGGTTTTTAATGTTGTTTCTAAGAGCAGGTACAATAATAAAGGTTAAGATTAATACTGAAATATTTTATAATAGTTATGCAAAACCACATACATATAGCATTAAATTTGGAGCTTTTATCTTGAATCAAGAGATTTAATCTACTTCAGTCTTAAATGAAATAATGACCATGTGGTTTTTAGCTTAGTATTAGAGTACTAAATATGGCAATTGTAGTTCATCTTTTATAGACTATTATATATAAGTCTCAGGATTATTTTACGTTCAATGATTAACTTTAAAATACTATTCTGCTCTTCTTTTACCTAAGTGATTCTGATAAACTACAGAATCAAGTGCCAAGGATTTTCATTTAAAAAAAAAATTTATTCATCACTGTTTATTCTAACCTTTATCAAAAGTGGAGCCAAAGTAACTAGGCAAAATAAGTCCTTGACTCCCAGAGAAATGTGATTTGAGTGTGGAGTGGTTTCTCAGGATGAAGTGCATTGTCTCATGGCAGAATCCCATCAAACTCTTTCAGTGGTGCAACTGCTTTGTTCTGAGTAATGCAATATCACAGTCTACATACTTGACCACTTCTGAAGGGAGGTCACAGCATCTCCACTTTTCATATAGGCTAGCAGCCATGGATGAGAAGTATGGCATCAGAA